ACCATCCCTGCTGCTCCCTTGGCTTCCACTGTCCGAGGACAAAGAAGAGCTCCAGCCTGGACTGGTGTGAAGATTGTGGATCTCATCAAGGTCTGTGGGAGGAGACCAACCTCCAGGATCTCTACACCAGAAAGAAAAATGCCAAAGTCTACAGCTGGATTGTGGCTAGACTGGTTGAGAGAGGCCACACCTGGACACTCGACCAGTGCCGTATGAAAATAAAAGAGCTCTAATAGGCCTACCACAAGGCCAGGGAGCAGAGCAGATGTTCCAGGGTGGCACCACACAGCTGCCCCTAGTATGACCAGCCGGATTCCATCCTGGGAGGAGGGGCCAGTCATCTCCCCCACCATCATTGTGGAATCTGGCCTGGGGTCAGCCTCTAGGAGGGCAGGATGGTGGACAACAAGGAAGAGGAGGAGGCCAGCTAAGCTACCATGCCTTCCAGCCAGGACCTGCTCCTCACTCTGAAGCCAGTCTCCTCCTCTCAGGATGTCTCCAAAGTAGAAGAGTCATCTAGGGGGCATGCACAGCAGCAGGGGCACCAAGACCAGGGTGAGCAGGGCCTGCGGGCCATGCTAGGGTTTGCCCTGCAGGTCCTTGTCCTCAGCCTGCTGGAGCAATATGTGGGCAGTCTGGAAGTACTGCACCATGAAGCACAGCACAAGGCCCGTGAGCATAACACTGCTTTGCAGCAGCTCTGTCTCCATGGTGTGAGAGCTGTGGCATCCACAAGGGCAACCAGAGGCATCTGCCCACTGCATCCCTTTTGTGTCCTGCAAAGGAGGAGGCAGTGGAGGAGTGTTGTGTGAGATGCGGTCATGGAGAGGAGCCCCTGAAAACACGCCACAGCTTGCCTGACCAGGCAGCCACAGGAAGTATCTGTCTTCCTGGTGTGCTTCCCAGAGTGCTTCCGAGGGTTCTAAGCCTAAGGCAGTCTCCAATCAGTGTGGACATACTGTTTCAGAATAATTCTAACTAATTTCTATGCTTCCCTGTAGTGGGGACATGCTATTTCAATGTTATTCAATTGGGAGTTATTATGCTGATTTTAGCTATTTCAAAATAATTTCCTAGTGTAGACATGCCCTTACAGATACATATTTAAAAGAAAAAGAGTGGTTTTTGTAGTCCACAGATATGTGAGAAGC